CTCTCTCTTCGTTTTAAAATTATTTTACAGATTGAATTTTTCACTTTTTGTCCAACAACAACAATAACATGTCATTTTCGCACTAGGTGGGGTTGGCTATATGGATCATATATTGATACCTTCGAGTTATGATGGTCATGTATTTCTATTATTATAAAACACTCAAGATTATACATGTATATGAAGACAAACATTTACATGAGAAGTCGAAATAATCTGTCTATTATTGACTTAATGATAATGGTTAAATTGTTACATAAAAGCATCACACTTAACTTTGTATTTGATGAACAATTGGGGGTATTTCCTAACATTGATGCAAATTACTTAGCTCATTTTCATGTTATTGTTAGGAAAGGACCGGACTGAATAATTGCTGAAAATTGGAAGCCAAAGGAGCAATTTAAGGGCTGCTGAGGCAAGGTTGCTGAGCTGGACGAAGAAGAAGGCCCTTAGACAAGAAGCATCTTGTCATTAATGACCTTGCCTCCTCCTAGAGGCATGCTTGTCCCCCAGCCGCAATCTCAGCCACCACTGCTGATCAATGAGAGCACAACGGCCACTGCTGGAAGAGAGAAAAGGAACGGCCAAGTTGGATTGCAGGCTCAAGACATTGGAAGGATTAAACAACTCCAAGCATGGGGAGGTTCTCATGATGAAGACACCGGTTGCAAGGCACTATAAAGGAGGGAACGGCACTCTCACATAGAAGGGGGGGATCTATCTTAGTCTCTAGTTAGCCTTTCAGTTGCTAAAAAACACTCAGAAAAACTCCAGGTAGAAGGCAAGAAAGAAGAAGAAGCAGCAACAACTCAGTGAGAAAGCCAAGTTGAAGAATAGCAACCCAGTTTCTCCTTCAGTTCCACGAGTGAACCCCTTCAGTCCCAGAAGTGACTCAGAAACTGCACAAGCTTTCTCCTCATCTCTTGACTGTTAGCTTGAATTTTGTTTACTATGCATACTTCTATGATGTCTTTCGATGTAGTAGATGTAGCATTAATCTGTATGAGTAGCTAAATAGTTCCCAGGGGTTATTCTCGTCGACTGATGTTGTAGTTGTCAAAGCACTGGTTTTGTTCCTTGTTTTATGGTTGAAAGTTTTTCTACATTCATTTACTTGATCACTAAATTGAATGCATGCTAGAACTAAGGGAGATCTGGAAGGATAAACTTGGTTTGGATTGTTTCAACCTTAACTTATGACATAGAGGTAACAGTCTATGGTTTTAACTAAGATAGGAATATACTTAGTTAACATAAGCATTCTTGAAGGCCTAAGAACTTAATGACTTTGTAGCTGAATCAATCATTGGAAAATAGGTTGTTAAGGTTGCAAAGATAACTCTAGGAAAAATGGGAACTGACTTAGAGTTATAAGTGAGCTGAATGAACAAGAACTCAACCATTACAGTGCTAATAGAACAACTACAACAGTAGGAGAGGAGAAGAACACCCCTGGCCTCCATTCCCCTGAGTGACTGTTTTCATTCTCCTGAGTGACACCTTGTTGACTGACAGTTTTTCTTTACAACAAATTTGGTAATTAGTTGTCCTCGTGGGATCGACCTAGCTTCCATTATCTACAAAACTCATAATCCAAGCTAGTAATATTTATTTTTTTTGGTGAACTTGGCAAGCATCACTTAAACAATCAGGAACCTGGTCAATAGCTTGGCAAGCAATGAGAAGATTACAAGTGGCGTACTTAACAGGGGGGGTAACCCATGCTGTACTCTTTTTCCCTTGATCGAAGTTTTGTCCCATTGGGTTTTTCCGACAAGGTTTTTAACGAGGCAGCATCACATTTGGAAGTATACTCTTTTTCCTTCACTAAGGTTTTATCCCAAAGGGTTTTTCTTAGTAAGGTTTTAACGAGGCATTCTTCCCCAAAGATGGACATTCAAAGTGCGAGTGTTATGAAATATTTGATTTGATTTGATTGAATGTCCACAATTAATATGTATTATCCTATTCACAATTAAGGAGATATGATTTTGTAATATTTAGCTTGGCGATTCATCTCCCACAGTTTGATCCCTTTTTACTTCTTATATACGGTAGCAGTGTTACTTTGACTTTGTCATATGTTTATTAGGGCTGTCGACTATTCGGGTTAACCCGACCACCCGCCCGAACTGAATGGAAAATGGGGCGTTCGGTTCTGCTATTCGGGGCATTTCGGGGTAATTCGAGTACACCCGACCACCCGAAATTTAAACGGTGCGGGTGTAGGTGAACAAAAAGTAGTTTGGGCCCTGCCCGACAAACTGATTTTTAAATATATATTAATGAGATTAGGGTTTCCCCTCATTTTTTCCTCTGATTTTCTCTCTCTTCCTCCTCTCTTCTTCTCTCTCTTCCTCTCTTCACTCTCTAGTTTCAACTTTCAACCTCGACGGTGGCGACGGTCAACAATTGCCGCCACCCACCGTTCCATCTTTCCACCTCTGTTAATCGATCGATCTATCAATCGTTCTAAATCTATTATATACTCCAAAAAAATCCATCAAACTTTTCACTTAGGGTTTCCTTCCAGATCTGGGCCATCGAATCGATTAGGGTTAATGGAGTTATGAGATTAGGGTTTGAACTTTTAGGTTGGGGAATTGGAATTAAGTTGAGCCGTTGAAATTTACAAACTAGGTGAAGAATTGTTCTTTTTACTGTTTCTCTGTCCCATAAATCTACTAATTTTTAACCTTTAATATTTTTCCTCTTTATTATTTTGTCAAAAATTGATTTCTTGGATTTTAAGTTGAACCCATTCTTTTGTGTAATTCCTTTGAAACAAATCAGTTCGTGCATCTGTGATTCTAGATTCGCTAATTTCAAATTTTCTTTATTCTAGATTTTTTTTCTTGGTCGATTTTGCTTGATTTAAGTTGTTTGATGCGTCAAAAAGGGGGAAAAGAATAGGTTTTTTTTCTTCTGCAAGTCGCCAAAGTGGGATAGTAGAAATTGCCCTTTCTCTTTTGTTGTTGAAAATAATGAAACCATTTTTTTTTTTGATTCCTTTTATCTTTTTTTTGGCTCAATTAATAGAATTCGAGATCAAAAGTTCCTAATTTTTCACGAATTTGAGGTTTGGACCAGTAGTGCTTTTCAAAATTTGATAGCTATGCAGTTTTGTGTAATTGTACAATTTTTAGTCTCTTACCTTTTATTACTAATCACATTTCTCTCCCATTTTGGGTCTGTGTGGTTGGGTTGCTGCAGATGATTGTGGAAGCCATTGCTGCCGTGAAGCAAAAAGAAGGGGCAAACAAGTCAGCCATATCCAAAAACATAGAATCCAAGTATGGAGAAGTGCTGCAATGCTGTTCCAGATTGTTGCAATGCTGCTTGTTGAACTATTGAGCACTCAGCACTTGAAGAATGAAGACTGAAGTTGCAGATTGAAGTTGCCTATTTCATTCTGTTATGATCTCAGTTTCTGAAATAAAACTTGAATTTGTTTGAAATTTCTATTTTGAATCTTCTAATTTTAGACTTTAAAGCTTGATTTTGTGTCATCTGTGTTGTTGAACTTGAATTTAAATGAGGTGTAATATTTTAGAGATTCAATATTATGATTTTCAGTTCAGGTGTGCACTGCTGCACTCAGCACTACAAATATTGAAATGCTGAGTGTTGAATTGAAGTATTGAAATGCAGCAGAAATGCAAATGGTCCTTGTTATTTGTTCTGAATTTTTTTTTTTAGGTTTAATATTGAATTCAGTTGAACCGGATACTGAACCGAAAAATCGATTACTTATTCGGCTCGATTCGGTTTGGTGAAATTAATTCTACGGTTTGATTGTGGGCAGTTCCTGTGAGAGTGAAAAACCGATTAAACCGAACTGTATTTCGACCGAACCGCCCAAACCGCCCAAACTGACAGCCCTGATGTTTATAGACAATCACAAGTCACTGTTTTTTACTTTTCCTGGATCGGTCACCCTAGAGATCAGATGAAACTTTCAAAGTTATTGTTTTTTTTTTCTTTTTTTCTTTTTTTCCTTTCACCTCCCTTCCACTAGCCTTGCTGATGAATGAATATCAATTTGGTAGCACTACTTAATTACGTTTGGTCAATGAAGGGAGGGAGACATGTTAACACGTCCAATATTATTGAATCCAGGCTTAACCAGCCGAGTTCTTTAGTACCGTTTTCTTTTTAATTAGAGTATGATTACATTTGCTTAATTAATTCCAAGTCTGCATCTGGGTTTGGTCGTCACTAATTTCTGCATCATTTTCTTTAATGTGCATGATGATGCAAGTTGATTGAAGAATAGTTTAGTTATTTGAACTGCAGGTCTTACATGATTCTGCTCTCATGGGGTTAAGAGAAATTGCAAGTGAACCTTAACAAACATATAACAACTGTTTCATGTCATTCTCACTTTAATTGTGTAAATACAGCCAATCGATTCAACTTAACTTTGATGGCAAACTGCCAAAAGACAACCAACCATGATCAACTCCTCAACAACTTTGTTATTGCTCCAGAATATCACCAATTCGGCATATAAGAGGTATTTAAGAATGAGATGAAGGAGGGAAGACAGAATAATATACCCATTGAAATTTGTGAGTAATTTGACATCTCACATCTCATCAATTAGCCTTTTTCAGCACTCTTCTTCATCAACTGGGTAGGTTCCCTTTTGATCATCATTTTCTCCATTTCAGACAAAAATAAAATCCCTTTCATTCTCCATTCCATCTTCTTATTTTCCTTAGCCTAACTATAAACCATTCAGATTGTCTCAACCTCATCCTCTTTATTCCATTAATCCATCACTTGAAAGCTTATATCCCATCCATCTAATCTCATCTCTGTTGGTTTCTGTTCATTTCAATCAATGCTTTTGTACTTTTTGATTACTTTTCCATCCATTCAAGACATATTACATAAAAAAAGATACAAGCTTTGACCAATCACACCCCACCTTTCTTACAATCCAATCGAATCAAAATTATCTACATTGATCAATTAGTTAAACAAACAGCTATATGGCCTCCGACCTCATTACCAGCACCAATTCTGCGGTAGATGATATGCAGTTCCTGGTGGACTGTGGAAGTATTAACATCGAACAATTTGTTCTGCTGTTATTTAGGTTAAGAAATCTTAAAATATTCCTTGTTTTAACTAAAAAGTTGGGCAACGATCCAAGTCTGGGATCTTTCTTCCAAGTGGTTGAAGATGTTGTTTGTAAAGAAGCAGGGGTGGTTCGCACTTTACGTCTCTTTTTGACTGGTCTAGCTACGGGTGAGCAAGCTAACGCTGCTTTTGAACTGGATGGTACCTTAAAGATTGAGGACAAAACTTGGCAGGAACCAATGGATCAGCTCTACGTCAAAATCTTGGATACTCCGAGGCAATCAAACTCTCTAACACCAAATGAAGTTGATGATATCTTGACTTTCTTGCTTCAGAATCTCGGGGTATTTCACAGCTTGGAATGGGAACTCGACGGTGAAATTCTAGGAGAGCCCGTCAAAGCCTTGGAAGAACAGATCATATTCTTGAGAAATCTCTGCCTCTTCACCTTTGAGGAAGTATCTAAAGTTGATGAAGAGTTATTGGCTCATGTCGAAACTATTTCAATCAATGCTGCATATCTCCTATTCAAGTGTGATGCCGACAAGGGCGATAAAAGTGCTTGCCAAGATTTGCTGTTCAAGATTTCATCATTGATGAAAGAAATCAAACCTATTGATCCTCAGGTCTACGAGACTTACATTAAGGTGTTGAGTGGCTCAAAGGTCAGGAGAAGGTCACTTCTCCCTGCTGATGGAGAGAAGGACAAAGAACACTGTCGCGTGAAAGAATTCTTGAATTCTCTCATTTCTAATCTTTGGGAGAGGCTACAACAACTTAATTCTGATGATGTGGTTTCTCTGCCGGATCAACTCCGCGAGCTCTACAAAGGACTTGGATCCTTGGGAATCATTCTCACCCAGCTGCCTAACGCCGTTGAGTTGAAAGCTAAAGACCACATTTTTTATGTGGTGTGTGATGCTGGAGTCTTGATTTGCTCGCTGTACCAGACACATCAACAACTGGACGATGGAATTCAGCACTTGTTGAAAGCAATAAGGCACATTATATCGGATCTTGGTGAAAAAGGGGCGCACAAACCGGATTCCAACATTCCTAGCACTGCTCCATTGTCATTTGTCGATTCTTTAGTCGAAAGGCTAAAGGAGATGACAAGGTGTGAAACTGAAACAAATTCAAAGAGTCATCCCCTAACTATTGAAAAAGAGCTCGTCTATTTAAGGTCATTCTTGGGACACATCATGGAGTTGCGTCATGAACAGGAGGAAGTCCAAACTCTTTGGGACCATGTTTTGGAGTTAGCGTATCGGGTAGAGTGTCTTGTCGACTACTTAGTGGTTGGTGATCTTTCAGATACTTTTTCAGAAGCATTTGATTCCATCATGAAGGGCATCAAGAATATCAAGCCACAAATCGAGGTGCGCCAAGTAGAAATCAAAATGAAGGGAGTAACCATGGCTCATAGCTATCATGCGCCATATCAAAGAATTCCTTCATCATTAAATAATGAGGTCGTTGGGTTCCTTGATGAGGCAAAATCAATTAAGAATCGGCTCACGAGGGGATTGAAGCAACTACAAATTGTAGCCATTGTGGGTATGCCAGGCCAAGGTAAGACGACTTTAGCTGGAAAAGTTTACAATGACCCTTATGTTTCACACCATTTTTTAGTCTCTGCACAGACTACTGTGTCCCAAATAATGGACAAAAGAAGGGTTCTCTTTAACCTCTTGAGCCAAATTGATCCCAAAAAATGTTCTGAATTTACTTCTGAACGGGATTTAGTAGAGAAGGTCTGGCGCAGCTTAAAAGGAAAGAGATATCTCATCTTTTTGGATGACGTATGGGAAGCTGAGGCGTGGAATAGCTTGAAAGAAGCATTCCCTGAGGATCATTTGGCAAGTAGAATTATGTTGACGAGTCGTCAGCATGATGTTGCTCCCGATGAAGAACCTCACGAAGTTAGACCACTGAATGAAGAAGAGAGCATGGACCTATTGCAAAGGAAGTTGTTCAATGGAAGTTGCTGGCCCAGTGAATCTGTTGATTTTGGTAACCAAATTGCCAAACTCTGTAAGGGACTTCCTCTAACAATCGTGATTATAGCTGGTGTTCTAGCAACCACAAAGCCGGAGTGTTGGAAAAATATTCTGAGTGGTTTAAGGTCAGGCATCGTTTCAAGCACAGAACAGTGCAGAAACTTACTGGAACTCAGCTACAGCCATTTACCAGAGCATTTGAGGCCCTGCCTTCTTTATTTCGCAGCATTTCAAGAAGATGAGGAGGTTTCAGTCAGGAGATTACTTCGTTTATGGATAGCTGAAGGATTCGTTCGCAAAGTTGAGATGAAGTGTGTTGAAGATGTTGCTGAGGACTACCTGAAAGATTTAATCGGGAGAAGCTTACTTACAGTTGCAAAACAAAGATCCATAGGAGGAGTGAAAGCATGTTGCATCCATGATTTGCTCCATGAATTTTGTTTGCAAAAAGCCAAAGATGAACGGTTCTTCTCTTTCCTTGGAGTAGGTGCTGATAAAGTTTTGGCATTCCACGAGCTACACAACCTGCGAAGATTATGCGTTAACTCTGATCCGAAGCATTTCATAAGCACAAGTGAGTATTTCCCGTATGTTCGTTCTCTGCGCTTCAACTATGACGCGCACCAAGTCCCTCAAGATCTATCCTTCATATTTAACATTTGCAAACTGTTAAGAGTTTTGGATTTGGGGCAAATCAATATAGGTCGTGTGTTTCCAAGTGAAATAGGGTTGCTTGTGCAATTGGCCTTCCTGGCAATTCGAGGTTATGTGAGGGATATCCCACCATCAGTTGGAAACCTTTCTAATCTGGAGACTTTGAATTTATATCAAATAGCAGTAGCCAAGCCAATCTCCTTACCAGACAGTTTCTGGAATCTTCAGAAACTAAGGCATCTTTTCATGACAAGTCCTGGTGGAATATTTCGTTTTGAAAGTCTTGTTGGATCATCTGATTTATGTGAGTTAGATAGAGTTTCCGGTCTAGCTATTCCTTACGGAGCTAACTTAGAAGGTTTACTGAAAAAGTTTCCAAACGTCCGTAAGTTGAAATGCTTCCTTTTGGAGTTCCTTGACAAAGTAGAAAATCATGTAAAGATAATAGTTCCTGACTTTTTGAGCCAACTAGAATCACTTGGTATGTCATTGTTCTACAATGATGACCCACCTGAAGACATCAAGATGAAGTTTGAGTTCATTCTGCCTGCAAATGTGAAGAAATTGATGCTGTCAGGGCTTTGTTTGTATAGGGAGTGCCTTTCAATTATTTCTAGGCTGCCAAACCTTGAAGTCCTCAAACTAATAGCTGTAAGTTTCGAAGGGGACACTTGGGAACTGGAAGAAGAGGAATTCCCCAAACTCCGATTCTTGAAATTGCATTCTTGGAGTCTACGCTCGTGGAGTGCTTCAGAGAATCCATTTGGCTGTCTTGAGAAGTTGGTATTGAGGAAGTGTGTACTTTTGGGAGAGATGCCTAGTTGTCTGGAAAATATCTCTACGCTTGAAGTGATCCAGGTCAAATATTGTTCTGACACTCTACTAGAGCTAGTAGGAAAGATTAAGGAAGCACAAGAAGACAACGGAAATTCAGAGCTGAAGATCATTACTTCCTTATCTGACTGATTATTCTGCACCAACTTTTGCGGTTTGGAATGTGTGATGATGGCGATCGTGGTTGTGGTTCATTACTGCTCCATCTTGCTAATCTTTGCTTCTCATTGGAGGTGTCTGTCTCTGCTGTTCCTTAAGTTGTTCAGGTGAGATTCTAGTACTTGTTTTCAAACTTCTATCAGTCTGACTTGATTTATGCCTTCTTCTTTTTTTTTCTTTTTTTTTTTTTTCCTTTTCGCATAGAGGATATGGTCTTTTCAATAAAACTTAGTAAGTTTTGCATCAAAATTTTCTGGAGATTGGTAGGCATCCAATAATTGATTCAGTGGTGTGACTTAAGCTGGCAAGTTCTCTGGGTATGTTTTCGGTGAATACATTATACATCTATACTTGGGTCAAATGTGATAACTGCATTTCGTGCGTGAACTTAATGCTGAAATGGAGTTGTGATAATCACGATTGTTTTTAAGAAAGTGTAATCTTACTACTCTACTCTGTTCTGTTTTCTCTTTGCTGCTTGCGAATCAATACGTTTGGTCCAAAACTGAGCAGTAGAATTAGTAGGAAAGTCCTATCTTTCAGTTGTTCATGATGGAGTAAATGTACATGAAAATGATAATTTCCCCTCTACTTCTCTTGTAGTAACATCTTGTAATCAAGTCGTGACACAAAAATGACATTGAGTGATTGAGCTAAGATGCATTGCAGAGTTTGATGTAGGAATTACTGATCTTTGTTCCTCTAGATTGTAATTATGCTATCAAGAAAATTGATCTCGGGGAATGTTTGAAAACAGTACTGAATGTTGGTCTTTAATGCCATAGGATTAGGTCCAGGACGAAGATGGGACAGCTCCGATGAAGAAAAAACTTCAGTTCATTCTTCAAGTGCCCAAATATGAATGTTCATCAAAGACGGTTTGGTTTCTTGTGGGAAAAAGAGTTCAGTATATTTCATCTCCAAGGTATGTATATATATATATACTATATACAGACGAAGGAACATGATAGTTTTCCGAAAATTCCTATTCATAATTTTGATCCTCGGGATTATTGACTGTTATCAAACAGTACTACTGGATTATGTATATTTAACTAGATCATTTGGTCTCTTAATTAGTCATGGCCAAAGGAAACGTAATTTTGTTGCGGACTTTTTGGCTACCATGACGGGGTCGAATCCAGAAAGACTTTCCCAACTGGATTTGTCCCCTCCAGGAGTCCGTTATTGGCTACGACACGATGCAATAGGGGTATCTTACGTTCGTCGTGTGGTGACTTCTTCCTAGAAACCTTAATGAAATTACCTGTTTACCAAATAAAAAAAGGTTGCTTTTTTAATATCTTGGTATTATTAGGTTGGCGCCTGACTGGAGAAAATGGTACATCAACCGCAGCTCCAAGGAAGATGAAAGTTCAATTTAGCTACAATTAGTGTGCCTTGAGACATCGACGAGATGAAATCATCTTGTTGAAATGATCTGCGTGAAATACGAGATGGGAAAGATGGTAGACTACAAGTTGTGATACACAGAATTGTTGCAGCTAATGTTGTTGATAATCAAAACCCTTCTCAACATTGTATATTAGAATGCTGTGAGTAGTAGTAGCATTAGTAGTTGGGTGAATGTCAAAGTACTTGGACTCCCATCTCAAAACCAATTATTAATAAGTGGAGCAACCTTTGAAACTTATATAATGAATCACTTCTCTTCACGGTGGCGATGTGAAATAGATATTATACTTTTAACACGGAATGCTGATATTCTCAGAGTATCATCTCCATATGAGAGCATAATACAATATAGCTCATTTTGGGAAGGAAAATGAATTCCCACCAGCCTTTGCTGATGAACAAATAAGAATTTTGGTAACTATTATGATGACTGATGAATGCAGGATGACAAAATTTCCCAATATTAAAATTAAGACTTGCCCCAAGTGAGTGAGTCTCTCTTTTGTAACCAAATTTTTCATCTTTTCATTTCCTCCTAACAAAAATCAGCTTCCAGCAATGTGCACCGACCAAGTAGTACTGGCCTGCTTAGTTGAAAATGGTTGTGAATACTATCAATCTTTTGTTCTCCCTCCATGATACGAATCTTGAGGTGAGATGATGAAATTACCTTAAATACGAAAGCTATGAATTTTTCAATACTTGATAGTTTGCGACACCAATGAAGACTACTCCAAACCACACGAGAAAGAAGAAGAAAAGAAGGAGAAACAATGCAAACCACAAAAATTTGCACAAAAAAAAAAATGAAAGATTCGAAAGATGAAGAATTATGTTTTGGTTAGCAACCCAATCGGTTCCTCTCTAACAACCCTATCCCTTTAATTTATGGATAGAACTGCTAGCGAAAAGACTCCAATGAACAAACTAACAAAGCTCCACACGTGAAGGACACTTAAAATCACGCATACGCGTCAACAAAGCACAAACAAGTGTGTAATGCACTAATTTTCAAAAAGAATAGAAAAAGAACAAAGAATTTCCTCTCGTCTCGTATTAAAATATCAATAATCATCAAAAGTATATATTTTTGGTCGACCAAGACCCCCTTTATATAGGCAAAGGTTGGCTTGGACAAAAAGAAACCGAATACTAGTTCAAATCGGATTTGTCTACATAAGTTTGCTAATATAGATTTAAATAATAATTAAATAAATAATTGTACATGTTAAAATTATTTAAAACCATCTAGAATCTTCTAGAGCTGTCGAAAAGTCGGCCATAAGGGATAAATGACCAAAAAATCCTCTTCCTAATGAAAATAGGAGAGTAGAAATATCTGTCCGCCGCCCATCGACCTCCCTGTCGACCAACACCCTAGTCGATGCAGCCCTGTCGACTTTGCTGTTGATCAATACCTTGCTCGACGCCATGTTGTCGGTTTTGATGTTGACTTCCTCTACTTGACTAAGAGCTTGACGTGCACTAAAACCTTCAACTTCAATCCAAGATAAACATGAAACCCATGGAATTGAATCCACATTGAGAGTTTGAACATCCATGAAGAAGTTGTTGAGTGACTCATTCATTTTCTTTCTTCGAGACCTCGTCATAGAACCTCCAATATTAGCTAATGACGAGGCTTGGTTTTACGCCGCCGGTCTAACAATCAAACTCCTGCTAGGGTTTCCTGCAAAATAGGGCCACGGGGGTCTCCTGAGGGTAGACACTATGATGCTTAAGTCAATAAAGGGTTTTAGGAACGTCTGAATGTGTAGTATGTTAAGCTAGAGATTGCATACTCGTATTGTGGTGCGACCAACCTTATTTATAGGCATGAAAGCCCCGAGAGATAACCAAATTTTACTAGGTTTTGGGTTACCTAAACTGCCTTATCAAAGTCGGTTGAACTTCCTATGTGGTTAATGGGCCGGTCCAATGTTGGTAATGGATATGGACTCGTCAAGTGCCCGTGTCAAGTGTTAGTTGTACGAGATAAACAATACTTGACACAAGATAAACTTACTTGGAATAGGCCCAAGAGTAATGGACAAGACTCGTCCAGTAATATATCAAGCAGGCCTAAGTTAAGCGTGCCAGTCTCGACCTACGCTGCATTGAGGAAGCTTGACGCATAACCTAACGGCTACGATCCAACCCGGAGAGGTGACCCGCTTCATAATCCCGCCCAATTTATTCAACCGCGCACCATTAGTGGGCACGTTCCCCAAACGGCTGCTTCACCATCATTACGGTGTCCTTGAAACTCTCCCAAACTGTCAAAGTGTGGGCTGTAACCTAAGAAACATGGGAGGATTAAACCCCGGCTTTAAATAACCAGAAGAGCTCTCAAAAGCTCACTCCCATTTATTTTTCACCAAAATATCAAGGCTCCATCCTCTGCCAAAGCGCTCCAGTTGCTTTTTGCCGAAATATTCACAAGCCCGATTTGATACACTGCCCCGGTAACGTTATCACCTGAAAACCTATGACTGAGTAATTGCAAGGAAACTGGGAGGCTATAACTCCGAAGGCGAGTGGTCTTTCCCCCTTCCAATAGTAAGTTCTCAGATCTGATTATTTGAATTTCATTTTATATTTCTCCGGTTGAATTTGTAGCGTAAATCACTATTTTCCTGCAAATAGATAATCATGGCTAGAGATCCAAACCAAAAATCAGTTGACGACTTTGCATCCTCCATAGATAGTGTCGAGAAGGTAAACTTTGTGAAAACCAAATACGATCTGCCCCTAGATCTAGAAGCCAGAGCCCCCCTAAGATAAGAGAGAGCCAATACTCCTCCAGAAGGAAAAATCACCATATATGATAGGTTTATGTTCTTAGGCATGAGATTCCCCCTTTTTCCTTTGTTCGAGGAGATCGTTGATTATTATAAAATCCTCTTAGCACGCTTCACCTAAAACTTCATTACCTACGTTCTCGGATTTGTGAAAATCTGTCAATGAGTAAAAATGAAGACGTGCTTATTCTTGTGGAGATATTTCTTTAGAGTATCCACACCATCGACAAGTTTCCGAGACTGGTATATAGTAAAGAGAAACCTAGCGTCTGGTTCTAGGAAGATAGTAGAGGGGTATGGTGGTTCCCCATGATATGCTTATATTTTACTTATTTATTATATCCCTAATTTGTGATTTTTGTAATATATTTTGAGTACAAATATGCTATTTATGTGATTTTGTCTTTAATTGTAGGAATTGTACTCAAATGAAGAATTGTTGAAGTTTTGAGCTAAAATCGAATTAAAAGCAACTCAATGGGAAAGAATTGAAGATTGGAGCAATTGATGGGGAAGAAATTAATGAGTTTGGAGAATTGGAGGGCCAATGATGTAATTTTGGAATGTTTAATTAAGTTTTTGGAAATTGGCCGAAGGTTACGATGAATGTGCGGCCGATTTGGGATTGGAATTGGATAAGAATTTTAATCCCGATATTAATTGGGAAACAAGTTTTCTTGTTCTTCAAGGAGTAGGGTTTAGCCAGAAGCCTATAAAAGGAGGATTAAAGATTTATTTTTACAACAGAACTGAACTTAAAACTGGCCGAAAACCTTACGGCTGCAAACCACCTCCCCAGCACTT